GGCTCTGCTGTCAGTTCTATTTCAGCGGTGCCTACCTTGTTCCCCTACAAAAGGATTCAATTCCTTAGGTGAGGCGAGGTCAGAGGTCTTGGCCTGCCACTCTGCTGCAGCACCTGACAGGGGCTTCCTAAAGAGGGGCTCTGTGCAGCTGTGCTCGAAGGTCTACCTCGAATCTGGCCCGAAGCATCATTGTCATCCTTGTCACTGGCCCTCCTCTCTGCTCCATGGGTACATGTCACCTGCAATGTGCAGGGGAACAGATTGAGTCTCGAGAGGACAGCAATGTATTCCCATGGTGATCAATGAAATTTTTAAGGATAGACAGGCTATAAATCAATAAAACAAAGATAAGCCGCTGGTGCCCACACAGCCCTCAGAGCAGGACTCTGCCTTGGTAGGTGTCTGGCGTCATGCCCTAGGAGGTCTGCTTGGCCTTGGAGGCCTGACTTGCACCTCTTGGGGTCTGGCTTAGGAGCTTGGGGAGTCCCACCTTGGGCCCCTTCCTAAGACATTCCCCACCTCTTGCCCAGAAGATAGGCCTGCCAGGTGGGGCCAACACTCTGCTCCCACCCTGATCTCTTACTGCTCCTTTTGTTGATTCAACTCATGTTTTTTGAGCCTCTACTGTGGGCCACATATGCTATAGGGCAGATGCCGAAGACACAGCTTCGAACAGGCAGGTGAGAATCTCTGCCCTCCTGGAGCTGAACTAACCAGGGGGCAGCCAGCCCCCTGAAGTGGCAGGGCAGGGAGAAGAGGCGGGGTGGAGGGGGTGGTGGGAGGGTAGGCGCTGCAATTTTAAATAGGAAAGATCTCTGAGAATATTACCCTCGAACAAAGACCTGGGGAAGGTGAAGGAATAAGCTGTGCAGGAATTTGGGAGGAGGTTCCAGGCAAAGGCACCAGCCGGGGCACAGGCCTTGACGTGGGAGTGTGCCTGGCATGTTCCAGGAAGAGCAAGAAAGCACAGGTGGCTGGAAGGGAGGTCAAACATGCAAGAGTTAGGGTTAGGGTTAGGGTTAGTGTTAGGGTTAGGGTTGGGATGGTGGCAGCAGAGTGGTGAGTGGGGGTCTGACTGTAGAGAGATGACACAGTGCAGGTAGAGCCAAGAAGATGTGCTGAAGGATTGGATGTGCGGGTGAACGGGGAGAGCAATCAGGGAACAGCAGGACCTTGGGCGGGAGCTGCTGGAGGAGTGGAGTTGCCTGAACTGGAGAAGGCTGTGGGCGGATCAGGTTTGGGGAGAGGGTCAAGACTTCCAACTGCTAAACCTAATAACGTTTTCAGTCCTAATTTTCCGTGGCCTTGAAGAAGGATTGGATGCTATACCATCACACTGTCTAGTGTTCCTCCGCGTCCCCAGGCAAATCCTCAACGCCCCAGGTGGTCTAGCCTCTTGCAACCAAATTGTTACATTCCTCAGTGCTCTGTGCTGAGCCCTCCTCTCTTCTGACTCCCATCCTGAGTGAGCTTATCCCGGCCCTCAGCTCCCTTACCATCTGATAATTCCCAACTGGCCCCCTTGAACCCCGACCACCCCTCTGGGCTCTGCACCTTGTACATCTTATACTCGGCTTCCGAGATAGCTCCCTGTCTGCACGCTTCCTAGACATGCATCTCAACTCTGCATTTCGCCCACAGCTTTCAGGTCTGTTTCTCATACTTGGACTCCCTCTAGGTTTCCTGTCTCTGTGATGACAGTACATCAGGGAGATACAAAGCCAGAGGTCTGGGATACCTTCCTGCCTTGGGGCCTCATATTGTGGTCTCCGGAAGAGTTCACACTGTCCACTTCCCTCTACCTGGGCACCAGGTCCAAACTTCCATGAAATTGCACCAGAACAACTGTGCTAACAGCCCCATTACGTTTAGCTTCCAGTGTTCTGTCGAGAAGTGCCATGCAATTTTGATTCATGATCTTTGGATGTGTTTTATTTTTTCTCTTTGGAGGTTGTCACTCTACCGCCTGTGTACTGAAATTTCAATATGGTATACCTTAGTGTGATTTTTTACAAAAAGAATTTATTATGGTAGGCACTTGATGCGTACTTTCAATCTGGAAAATCACGTTATTCAGTTGTAAGAAAACATTATTTGTTATTTCTTAAATTTATTCCCCCTCAGTCTCCTACTTTCTCTGCCTTTTGTTTCTGGAACACCTATTCTTCAGATATTGGGCCTCCTAGATTGATGCTCTGATTTTTAAAAAAATCTTTTTGTCTTCTAATTTCCTTTCCTTCACTTTGCCTTTTGATCCCATGATCTGGAGACTTCCTTAACTTTTCCTGCCATCCCTTAAATTGAATTTGGCTATTGAATTGTTAATTTCCAACAGCTATTATTTGTTCTCTAAATTTTATTTTTTTAATAACATCTAGTATCACAGATACAATATCCCACTTGTCTCTCTGAAGATATTATATTTTAAAAAAAATTTCTTCTGCTCTCTGCCTTTTTTCTGTTCCTTCTGAGTTCTTTTTCATTTGATTTGTTTTGGTTTCTGTTTTTCTTGTTAGAGGCCCTTCTCAAATATTCTTCTTAAAGAATAGGAGCTCTGAGAGTGTGCCTGACTTGCAAGTTGAGTGAAGAGGGGTCTGGCGTCATGCACCTGGTATGTTGGGGGCTTGCCAGCATCTGTATAACTTTTCTATAAAGTACTTCCTGTGGAGAGGAGCCTTCCAGTCTCTTATGTGGGAGGTTAAGCCTGGCAGCAAGATTCCCAGAGCCGTGTGAATAGCTGGTTCCAAGCATTCCACATCCATTTGTGCCCCGTGTTCAGGAAGGTGCCCATTCCCTTGGCTGGGCCTGATGTTTGACCTCTCCAGACAGCGCACTTCATCTTCCACCAGGACAGGGAAGGGAAGTCACTTGAGAGTTAAAGGAGGTAATCTGGAGATTTAATTGCTTATTAGGCTGACTTGCAACTGCTTCTGTTTTCATATTTCCCAGGGGACTCTAGGTACTCCCTCCCCAAAATATTGAGCTTTTCTGGGGTCATCAGGTGCAAATCAGTTTGCAGGTTATTAGTGTCCCACTGGGGGCAGTTAGGTGTCAGCTCTCCCTACTCTGCTAAATCACCGATAATGGTCAATTCATCTGCTTTCCAGCTTCCCAACGTTGTGGGCATTTCTTGAGTGCTGTCCAGGATTCTGCTGATCTCTTTGTCCTTTAGTGGTAATGCCTTTGTCATCCATTTACTGTCATTTTAGCAGGGTTTTGGAAGGGAGCAGAGGTTAATGCATATTTTCAATCCACCATGTTTAACCAGAAGTCCATATTAGATTAAAAAGATTAGTGCTTGAGGGAGGTGGGGAGTTGAAGGGAGAGAGAAGTTCCAAAGAAAAATGACTACGCTAAAAAGGTGCTTAAGTTTTTTATAATGCATGATGATGTGGCCGCATTACTGAAATGTGTGTGTGTGTGCTTGTGTGCGTATTATGAAATGCGAGAAAAGATGATCACAAAAATGGTAATTTTTATTATCTCAGAGTATTGAGATTTCAGGTGCTATTTATTTTCTTTCTCAAAAATTTCTGGGGAAAAAAACCTTAAATGGGCAAAGAACACTTGCCACCGGTACAGAGGGCAAGTGGCTGCATCTGTGAATATTCAGAAAGCACTTGGCCATCTACCTCTGACAGACATTTGCACATGTGGACAAAAAGTTATGAATAAGATTCTCGTTGAAGCATTGCTTATAAAGCCAAAAAAGGGCAAACAACTTTAAGTGTTTATCAGTACTGGGGGCAGGTAAATACAGTGGTCCCCCCTTATCCACAGTTTCACTTTCCTTGGTTTCATTTACCTGCAGTCAATCACAGTCCAAAAATATTAAATAGAGAATTCCAGAAACAATTCATGAATTTTGAATTGTGTGCCGTCCTGCTTGGGATGTGGCTCATCCTTTGTCCATGTCTCCACACTGAATACACCGCCCACCCGTTAGTCACTTAGAGCTGTCTGGGTTATCAGATTGATTGTTGTGGAATCACAGTGACTGTGCTCAAGCAACCCTTATTTTACTTGATAACGTCCCCAAAGCCAACTTTATTATTAGTTATTGTTGTTAGTCTCTCACTATGCCTAATTCATAAGTTAAAATTTATCATAGATATGTATGTATAGGAAAAAACACAGTTTATATAGGATTTGGGACTATCTGTGGTTTCAGGCATCCACTGGGGGTCTTGGAATGTGTCCTCTGCGGATAAGATGGGACCGCTGTAGATGATAGTGTATCCGTGTTCTGAAATACTAGGCAGCTATTGCAAAGAGTGAGGTGGGTCTACACCTGGGAGTGGAAAGACCTCCCGGGTACACTTTTAATTGGATATGCAAGTCGCATATAGGACAAATGTTATGCTACCATTTATACAAGATGAAAGGAAAAGTTCACAAGTCCTCCCCAAACAAACCACAACATCCTGTGGGTTTACACGTGTATATGTCTGTCCTCTTTTTTTTTTTTTAAAGATTTTTATTTTTCCATTTTTCTCCCCAAAGCCCCCCTGTACATAGTTGTATATTTTTAGTTGTGGGTCTTTCTAGTTGCGGCATGTAGGATGCCGCCTCAGCATGGCCATGTCCGCGCCCAGGATTCGAACTAACGAAACACTGGGCTGCCTGCAGCGGAGCGCGCGAACTTAACCACTCAGCCACGGGGCCAGCACCCACGTCCCTCCTCTTTTATAAATGGATGGCAGGAGGCTGAAAAGGGACATGGCAACTGAGAGGGCTGGACTGGGGAGAAGGGCCTAGGATTGGAGTAGAGGGTGGTGAGTGTGGTTAAGGTGGATTTTTGTTTTTTTTCTGTGGCTTGATTTTATACAAATAGAATATATGAGCGTATTATTTACATCATGAAATATAATTATATACATACACAATTATCTATTATATATTTTCTTTTACGCATTTGTTTTTCTTTTTTGAGAGAAGGGGTCAGGGTTTTAACTCTATTTTTTCAGTGTCCTTAGCCCCCATCCAGGCGGCCCGCGTACCTTTCCAGATGCCTTTGCGCTCTGCACCTCAAGGCGACTCTGGCAGGCACGGCCTTTGCCCAGCTTCCTTCCAGGGCACTCCTGAGGGGAATCTCTGAAGAACAAGGGCAATCTGCTCCAAGAGGCCTGGTCGCTTCCACTCGACAGAGAAGGAACTGGCCTTTTTTGCTTAAAAGGTTGATTCTCTTGCTTTAAAAGAAAAGGCAGGTTCTGCTTAGCCAGCCAATGGTCACATTTCTTCTGGTTGAAGGACAATGGGGGAGCCTCGGCACTTGCACGTCCGTCTTCTTGCCCCATCTCTCTTCCTCGCCTCATCCTTGGCACATAGGCCCAGGCCGTGGTCTCTGAGACCAGTTTTCCTGCATGGATGACAGGATGGCTGCCCAGGGAAGCACGCTGTCTGGCCTGGCTCAGGTCCCCTGCTCACCCTGTGCCCAGGGTAGGTGCCCCAACTGGCAGTCACCAGGGCTGCATGGTGGGGGAATCATCTCTCTGAATCCGTTACTCACATGGCCCAGGCTTCTTTTCTCCCAACCCTGCATTCCCACCCTCCTTTTAAAAGTTGGGGTTCTTTTTTGATGCTGAGAGCTCGACCTAGTCCAACCCTGATTTGTGGCCACAGTGATGTCAGATCCCTCCCATGGAGAAGCCTCCTGTGGGCCTGGCTGAGCAGGTCACACTAGGCCAAGAATGGTGACAGATGGATGCAAAAATTGTGTCCAGGAGAGTCCCATACATCTCGTACAGCAAAGCCAGAGAAGCTTGTCCCAGCACCTTGTGAATACGTGGAGGAGAGCCAGGCTGGGAAGAGCCTGGAGGGGGGAGGAGGGCAGGTCAGCAGTCAGCACAGGAGAGCCAGAGGCCTCGGTGGTGGTCAAGGCTGGGCCTCTATAAGGATCTGCTGATTTGGACCTTGAGAGTTGGACTGGGAGAGACAGACAGGGCAAGACTGCAGGGGTGTCCCAGGTCTCTGGGATTCCTGGAGTAGGCAGGGCCATGCTCGGACCAGAGCAGGCATCCACATCAGCAGCACTGAGGGTGCATCTGGGTTCTCAGAGTCCAAGTTGCATTTTCAGTTCACTGGCAGCATGAGCAGAAGACATGTTCTAATCTGGGTATGAAAAGAAACGTTATTTTACTGACACGACTTCCTTTCCTTTATAAAGAATATTGTATACTGAATACTGTTATTATACGGTTAAAATGAAGTGATGTCTAGAACTTGCTTCAAAATAATACCAAAAGGGGAAAGGGGTGACTATGAATGGGGCAGAGACCAACATAAAGTCTCCTTTGATTCAAGCAGAGGAGGTCAAGGCAGGGAGGGGAGGGGATAGCTACTGAGGGGTTCTTAGACACAGCTGAGGAAGGCTACTCTGTAGGCAGGCGAAGCTCTGGGGCTGAGGAAGTGACACTCAGTGGTGGTAGGTAGACAATTGCTGGGTCTTTGCTCCTCAGTAGCTCCCATCCCTGTATCTGGGAAGTTGTCTTCCCAGAGGCTCTGGTCACTGCTGAGGAGGGAGGGGTTGGGTCTTCCCTCTCCCAGCCCAGGCACTCAGGGGGCAGCCACCTGACTTCAGCTCAGCCAGCTGGACACCCCTGCTTGGTACATGGCATCTGAGACATGGTGTCTGAATAAGTTGAGCGAGATGAAGGGACAGACACTCTTCATGAGGGGACAGTCACACTATGAGGGGACAGTCGGAACTCTTTATGAGGGGATGGTCACAGTCTTTGTAAAGGGACAGTCACACTCTTTATGAGGGGACACTCAGCACTCTTTATGAGGGACAGACATTACTCTTCATGAGGGGACAGTTGCACTCTCTACAAAGGGACAGCCAACATCCTTGAAGTGGGGGCAGCTGCCTGCCATGTCCTGGGTAGATCTGTGGTTCCCGTACTTCCCACTTTGGGGCCATCTGGCATGACCTTGGCTGTGGCCTATTATCCACAACTGGTCTCCAAACTGTCAACACTGTGGCCAGCTGGCATCCCTCCCAAGTGTTGTTGTAGAATAGGACGCCCCCAAACCCCGCTGGGTAGTGAGGAATGAAGGGCCGTGAGCAGGCTGTGAGTTTGAACATCGTGGTAACACCTTTGAATGTTTCGAACACCCCTTGAGTATTGAAGATGTGAAGTTTGGGAGACACCGAAGAGAGAGTGGATTTCTCCAGAGGCTGGCTGAGGAGAGGGGCAAGCGTTCATTTCACCTATGGCGTTGGGAAGAAGACCCTGATGTCCTCAGCCTCGAGTCATGGAGGTAAAGACAGAATCATGTTTGTTCTAGGTGAGTTCAGGCAAATATGAAACGTGGATGACACATGACATGTTTATTAGAGTTAAAAACAAAAAGCACACTTTATCCCTACCCCATGATGGACTGGGAAAAATACCAAGGGCTGAGGCAGGAGGAATTTGAGTGGAGACGGTTGATGTCTGGTCGCTAAGGGCATGGAAGATTTTGCAATCTTCAGGTGCAGTTAGAGGCCTAGTTATAGGAATATTCTTCATATCCACCCCAGTTGTCTACACTGGTTAATCAAAAGTGCTAGTGATGAAAGATTTAACGCTTGTACTAGATATGACTCCACTGCCTTTAGACTGCCAGCACACAACAATAAAGTTCGTTTGCAGTAACACTGGTCTAAAGAGAGTCACACCCCTGCTTGGCTCAGAAGGCATTGTTCCAACAGCCGCCTCTGCCGAATCACTTGGTGTCTATACTCCTGTATCCTCTACCTTGAGACGGAGCTGGAAGTTTTCCCTCCTTCTTGTCCTCATCTGACCCTCCCCCACCCCACCCCAGCCTGCCTGCTAACACTGGGGCTCAAACCCCAAATCACTGGGAAGATTTCACCCAGAATCTCTGACCAAGGAAGTCGGGATCTCCTGGGGGCACCGTTAGTCTCTCATCTCCAGGAATCTGTGGTTGAGCTGCTGAACTCCCAGTGGGGCAGGAGGGGTTGATTCAGAAAGAATGAACCCTAATGATTGACGCCATCCATTTTTAGAAAATACTAGCTCAATTTCATTCCAAAAGACATCTGCTGCAAGGAGCCTAGCTTCTGTGAGGGGAAAGTAAATGCAAACATTTCCCAGGCAGAATAAAGTCACTGCTCTGATGGAGTTTCCTGCCAAATGTATGGTCACAGTTGCTCTGACCATGTCTGTGTTGGAAAGACACCTGAAACAAGCAGGGATCTCTGTAACGGATCAGCAATGTCTGCTGTGGGTGGACACGGTGCTCACTGTGGACTCATCATGTTTGGGGTCAGTAGGAGCCTCTGATTTTCACTAAGGATGTAAGTTTTTTTGCCAACTCATGCATGTGCCTCAATCTTTTCCTCTCTGTGTCTTTCTATCTCTCTAGCATTTTTCTCTTTCTGCCTCTCTGTCTCTCTCCTTCCCTCTCCCTCTTTCTGTAGACTTGTAGTCTGCCCCTTAAAAGTGTGCACTTTAGTTTGTCAGGATGCAGGAAGCCTTCGCTGGTTTGAGACCAATGAAGAACAAAGTCTCGTCATAGCAGTACCCAGAGAAAGGTCAAGGCTGGGAGAGTTTGGCAGGAGGCTTCCTCCTCAGGCTGGGAGCAGGCTGCTTCAAAAGGTGAATGACCTGAGAACCTACTGAAAAACAGAGACCACGAGCGCTCATGTCATTAAATGCACCACTGGAAATCTGCACTCACTTAATATCTCCAGACCCCAAAGAGAGGGAAGAATTAACTTCACACTAAGCCCAAATGTTATTACTCTCACCCCATTCCCCAGGCTTAAGCGTCCCGCATTTTGGAGCATCCTCAATCAGGATTAAAGGCAAACATGTGGGGCCAGGTCAGAGCTGAGCTCTTAAACGGAAGCAGGGATCATCACCTGTATGGGGAAAGCAGTCCATGGTGGGGGGGCTTTTGTCAACCCTGTGGCCCATCTGGCCACCCACCTGCCCTGTGTCATGGGACAAGAGAAAGGTGGCCCTGCTCTGAGAGCCTGTCTCCTCCACACTGGGAGACCCGGGCTCTGCCGGCCCTGCTTGGGACTTTGGGCACGTTTATTTCCCTTAACTGGAAAAGTCCCACATGGCCCTCAGTTTGGGTAGGAAGTCGTAATATGTGCAGAAGTCCTTTGTAAACTGTAGAATTCTCCATAATTTAAGGCCTAAGCTTTCGCTGCTGTGATCAAGGCTTTGAGGCTAGCAGACTGACTGCTTTATTGTGACAAATTTGGGCACGATTGTCCATAGACACAGGCCGCTTCATTCTATTGTTTTCAACATGGATTTGTTGAGTGTCTGATTTTCGCAAAGGACGGAGTGTGTTGCTGGGTATGTGAGTGGGAAAGGCGTGGGGAAAGCACAGTGAATGTAACAGTGTCCCCTGAAGCTGATGCTGACATGTCGTGTGCAGGGCTGACTTTTATGGATAAGTCAAGGGAAGGAAGCACAGGGACCTGGGAGACCCTTGGGAGCGGCAGAGGCAAAGCCGTGAACGAGCTCCATGCCGGGGCCCCCTGTCCACTCCTGCCGCGTGGGGTGGCAATGAGTGATCCTTCTGTTGGGGGAGGAGACTGTCGTGGGGTGGGTGGTGTGGAGCCAGGCCGAGGCCTGACAGCAGGTTTGTGTTTAAAATGGACAAGTGCCCCAGACAGCTTCTGTTAGAGGAGGGCAGGCTGATGGATCGAGGTCATCTGTGACTAGGACACTCTCCCGTGGCTGAGCACAGGCTATGGGCAAAGAGTTAGTGGCTGGAGGGATGTTCAAGATTCAAGGAATATATATCAATTAGCTAATTAGTTAATTATGTAATTGATAGATTCCAAAACAGTAGTCGTACTTATCTCTGGGCGGTGGAGTTGCTGGTAGTACTTTTTCTTTTGTATCTTTATATTTCTAAACTTTTACAATAAGTGTGGATTTTTTAAAAGTAAAAATGACTCATGAACATAGTAAACCATCAAACAGCAAGGAGAGATTTAAAATGGAAAGGACCCTTCTCCAGAAGTATCTAGGGTTCACCAGTTTTCTTGTGAATCCTCTGAGAAATGTTTTATGCATATACAAGCTTTTCATTTGTTGATCTGCCCAAAACAGATCATCAGCTACTAGGTGAAGCCAGCTTTTTTCACTTACTCATCTATCTCTGACATCGTTCTCCTGTTAAGCAGTATAATTGGACAATTCTCTTTGATGACATGTGTGATGACATTTTTGCAGGATAAACTCTTAGCACTGCAATAGCTGGGTCAAAGGGCGTGCCATTTCATGTTTTGACAGGTATTTCCACATTGCCCTTCAAAAGATTTCACTAGTTCACACCGACTGACATATTCTTTTGTAAAGAGATAAGTACTTTGTTGTATTAGTAAAGCTCTCAGAAGATTCTTCTGCCCTCTCGTTTCCTCCAGCCACTGGTTGCTTTGCGTCATCTGGTATCTCTCGCCCTGGATCACTCTCACCCACCCCTACCCCCAGGGACAGCCCAGGCACTGGGACCACTCCCTCAGGCCTTGGTGGACAGCATGCCATATGTATATTATTTCATTTTTGTGAGACCAGCTCCCTGATCCAGCCACCCCACTCCAGCCCCAAGAGGGGCATTTTTGGGGGCTCCCATCAACATACCCTTGGGGCACTGTCTGAGGATGTCTAAACTCTTGGTGCACGGATGGGGTCTCACGTGGCTGCCAGGAGTTATTCCCAGAGTGTTCAGGACTGCCCCAGAGGGGCATGGTTCCCCAAAGCAAAACTCAGGGACAAGATGAGGGGGTCACGCTTAAGTGGAGGCCTTCCGCTTTGTAATTGTACCATGCCCTAGGATTGCAAATAAACATCTGCAAATACTAAACGAGCCATTTTCCCCAGAGACCCACAGGGACTGTCCAGGGTGGTGTGAGCAGGGACTGATGGTGGGGAGTTCTTGGGTCATGTTGCTGGCTCCTGGGGGCACAAAGGCTGGTTGCCAAGTCCAGAGTGGGAAAGAAATGTGGGTCAGTTCTTAGGGACAGGAACCAGTGGTTCACTTGGCATCAAGGAGGGGCCTGTGTCTAGCCATGTGGACACGGGTGTCTAGAGAGGTCGGGGGGTGAGCCTCTCTCTCTCTCTCTCACCTCTTCCTTC